TATGGGTAGCCGACACCGACGATGAGGTTGCACAGCCAGTTGGCACCAATGCAGATGGACGAGGCGCTGGCACGCACCGAGTCCGGGAACATGTCGGCCGTCATGACCCAGACGAGCGGGCCGAGTGTGACACCGAAGACGATGACGTACAGTGCCGTGAAGACGATGGAGAGCGCCGACACGTCCGCTAGGAAAGCCACGGTCATGCCGATGGACATGACGATCATACCGGCAATGCCCCACAGGATCATGTTGCGGTTACCGAAGCGCGAGGCCAGCACACCCGTGAAGAAGGCCGGCCAGATGTTGATGAAGTCGATGATGAGCGTTCCAACGCGCGAGTCCGAGATGCCGGCGTCCGAGAAAATGTTGCCAGAGTAGTAGAAGACAGCGTTGATACCCGAGAGCTGCTGCGTGCACGAGAGCAGAAGCGCACCGAGGAACTGTAGGCGATACTTGGGCGACCAAATGGACTCGACCGGCTCGGAGGAGAACCCTGCCTCGGCCTCGCTGGGCTGCTTCTTGGGCTCAAGCCACGCGAGAGCAGTCTGCACGTGCTCCTCGCCGTACAGACGCGTGATGACCTGCTTGGCCTCCTCGCGACGGTTCTTCATGAGCAGCCACGCGGGACTCTCGACGGCCAGCGACGGCGACAGGAGCATGTAGATGCCAGCCAGCACGATGGGGAAACCGGCCATGTAACGCCATCCATCGCCGCTGTCGGCGAAGAAGAAGCAGATGGCCGGCACCAAGATGCCGATGGTGGTGGAGATCTGCAGTCCGAGACCAAGGTGGCTACGGAGGTGCGGCGGCGACAACTCGTTCACGTAAGCGCCGATGGTGCCGGTGGCGGCACCCGACGCGATACCGGCAACGGCGCGACCGACGGCGAACGGCCAAATGTTGGAGACCGAGGCCTGAATGACAGCACCGCCGATCATGAAGAAGCAGTTGAAGAAGAGAAGCTTCTTGCGGCCCATCATATCGCTGAAGTGGCCACACAGCAGACTACCGACCATGGCACCGAAGATCCAGGCGTTGACTGCGAAGGTCCACTCGAGCTTAGAGTGACCGCTGAAGAGCGTGCATGTGCCTTCGACGACGGGACGGGCATTGCACTCGTCAGTGTTGTTGTAGTCGGAAAGATTGAGCTGCGAGGTCGACCATCCGCTCTGGAAGGGCTGCAGCAGAGCGAGCAGAACGCTGGTGTAGAGGATACGGTTGGGCTTGATCTGGAGCGCAGCGGTCTTGACGGCGTCGTCGAAAGAGACTTCAGCTCCGGGTGTGGAAGTTTCGTTATAGTGGTCGTCGGGGTGAGGCGACATGACTGGTTTGGTAGAGCGACGACTGTGGTTGACTTGTGTGTTGCTTGTCCAAATGAAAAGTGAAGACAAGTAAGAGTTCAAGTTCAAGCACACAAGGGATCTCAAGAGGAAATACTAATGGGATCACCCGCACGGTTGGTTGTTTTGGCTGGACAGCATTGCATTCTGCAAATGTCTCTTTCTAGATTGATTGGGTTGCTATGAATCACGCGAGAGACCGCTTGCTTGTTGCTGTTGTTGCCGGCTCTCCTGAGTCAGGCAGGAAGCTCCTGCATGCAGAAGCAGAAATTTTCCTAAATTAAACAGAACCTAGGTTTCTTTTTCACGCTTCCGTACGGTTTAGCAGATCGAGATGATGCGATTACGCCAAACCAAAGTTTGAGCTCCATGCTCGGTCTCGCTTCACTGCTTCAACGTGGTCAAGTTGATTTATTTAGCATAGATCGGACCCGAGGATTCGACTCCAGGTTCGAGCAGAACGAGGCAACAGCTCTTGCTCTAGTTGGTCCACATGTGGACACTTCTTTTTCGGCGATGATGGACATTATTTCTAACATAATCTGTGCAGATGTCGATTAAAGCCGACCCGGTTTTACCAAAGTTTACTCCAATAAATTCAACCGTCGGTCTGATTATTGCGAAGAAGAGACTTCAGCCTCCAGCCTTTGCTCCGGCAAAAACTGCTCCTGAACTTCAGGTGCTGAAGTTGTCTTGACATGGGGGTACATGTATGGAGGCTTTGCCGCACGCGGTGCTAATG